AGTGTTCAAGGCCAGGTTGGGTGGGGCTTTGCGCAACCTGGGCCAGTGGAAGGTGTCCGTGCCCATGGTAGGAGATTTGAATGAGATGATCTTTAAGGTTGCTCCCAACCCGAACCATTCTATGATTTTATGATCTCAGCCTATTCAATTGCAGATTGTTCTTTACAGCTAACTTCTCAATTCATGGATCAATAACTTATATAGTCATTAACAAATGTGGGTGAATAGATTAAGATCTCTGAAAATGCTTAATTTTTAAAATTTGGCTGAGCACACCAGATAGCCACTTCTCTCTTAAGATGTGTTAGAGTAGCTGTGTGAAAACATTTTAACGTCTCTCATCTGAGAATCATGGTCAAATGCTTAGTTGCTTGCTTGAAAGATTCAGCTATCTCAAGTATTTATTTTTTTTCAGAATGGTAGCTGTAGTGATTTGAGTTCTTTATAAAAAAAAAGAGCCACTTGAAATCCCAAGTTTTCTCTCCTAAATGATACAAATTGTTGGGAAATGTTCTTTCTTTGTGGGAAGAGATCTAAATTTCTGTCCTCTGTTTTCCTGATATAGAGGAGAATCAATTTGGTTCTTTCATTTCCTAGGCTGTCTGTAGCAAAACTCTTCTGTGAATCCTTCCTAAGGAGTGTCAGCTCTATTTGCCAGCTACTGCGATGAGTTACGGTGATACTAAGCATCAAGTTAAACTTTAGCTGGCTTTATGAAGGCTTTTGAAAGTTTAACTTCTCTAAGGAATATAATCTTGACACCAGAAGGAGAGGAGGAGACTCAGATCAGGTCATTTATTTTGAAAGACAGTACTTGACAATTGTTTCGAAGAAAGGGGTTAGATGTTGCTTTTTTAATGTAAGAGAATGTCATATTGTCAACAAATGGGATTTCTAATGTTGATTGCTTTAGTACACATGTTGAGTTAAAAATCATTACGTATTTTGGCAAAAGACTGCATTTCAGTATAGCCTCTAAAATAGAGTGTTTAACCATAATGTAAAATTTGATTGACATTTTTGTAGCTATTTACAAATAAATATGCTTATATTAAAAAAAATACCCATCTTACAAACTTCAAATAAAAGCTGAATTTGTGACTGACTTAGATGCACCAAGGTTTGTATGGTGACATTAATAAGACGAGGAGATAGGAGGTACCGCTGTAACAATGCTGTGTTGGAGTAGAATTATGTAGCTGTTGTGACACGCTGCAAAATGATGACTTCTCAAATATCCTATGTCCAGAATCTTCCACTGTGTACAAAGAAACATGCAGCAGAGTAATCTACTCTTAAGGCTGAATGAGTAAAGTCCTAATGGCTTCCAAGAATTTTCAGCATCATGACAGTTCACTAAAAATTAATTCTTGCCGTCTGACATGGGTTTGTCTGACATGAGTTTTTTTGGCTTTCTATGCCTTCAGACATGTCTTATTCCTATTTTTCCTTAATGGTATTCCTGAGTTTTTCTAATTTGTGTTGTTTTTCTAACTTTTTTTTAATTTATTTATATATCATTCTAGTGCAGGGCACTCCTGATCTGCAACTGTTCTGATCTTTGAAAATGTTTTAAAGAATAAAGTGTTAACATATAATCATCTCCATCAGAAAAATTACTTAATTTGAATTCTTTACCATTTTCAAAAATAACAAAGTAGTAGCTTGTAATTGTAACTGTGAATTAGTATCTCAAATGCATGGAAGTGCCAAAATTATTAATATTTTACTATAAGAGCATTTTTGTAACTTTGTTGCACAGAAGTATTTGCAGATCAGCATTGCTGAATACTAGAGAGATTTCACATATTTTATTCATCGTATCCTCAGTTGCGCTTTTGTGTTTCTGCAGTAAAATTCTGTGCATCAAAACAAGTGACTTTCATGTAGCAAACGTGGTGTACTGTAGTTACTCCTTCAGTTTTTATGGATAAATGCAAACTGAGTGAATCTTTTTTTCCATGCGTGCTAATTATCAAAAGAATCTTAGTAACAGATGTGCAGAGGGAAAATGTTTTACTTGTAGTCTTCAGTAGCATTTCTTACAAGCAAGAGCCAGTGCAGTGTTTCTGCCCTGCATTGTCCTCTGTGTAAATTTTTCAAAGTGCCAAGTTAAATTATTTCCAGGCAATGATTAAAAATCTCATTAATATTTTCTTATTAAAAGCAGCTACAACATTCTTAGTTTTGCATGAGAGTACAGTAAGTGTTACATAATCTATTTAGAATAACTTAACACTTCATTCTGGTAGCTGTTCTGTGCTCATCTCTTCTAATTAAGTACAAGAATCCTTTCTGGTAACTGTATATTCAAGCATTAAGATTAATCTGAGAATTAATGAAATGTAAGTAATTTATCTGGTAATTAAATAGGTTCTCTTAAGTGCTCTAACGGTAAATGGCTATAAAAAGAACATTTATTGTATGGATTTTAAAATTTGAAGCCACAGTATACATAGGACCTCAACATCAAAACACAAAATTCCAGTGCAAACAAAGCCTGACCAGCCCTTCTTGGAGGACACCAAGGAACATGAGAAAGGTGTAACAGTGACCAGGGGAGTGGAGAGATGGAGCACATGATAGCTAGAATTATATATTTTTTAATCTCTAAAGCTGACTCTATATCACTGAAAGATCTGTATAGGCTTGAGTCAGTGGAAACATCTGAGAAAAATGGAGGAAAGTAATTTTTGTTTCAAGCTTCTCTGTAAATACTACAGGAGAGCTGCATATGTTGCACTTTTTTTTGTCTTATGCTTCTCTTAAATGCATTTGACTGAATTAAATATCTTAACCCTAGACTATTTCTAAAAACTACTATTTTAAAATAGGAGTTTAAAAGATTATTGTTAGCAGTAAAGTCTATTTCAGATTCTGCCATTTAAACTATAAAATTTCAATGTCTAATTATTTTTTTTTGAGAAAATGGTCTGTAGTCTCAATGACACAACACAGTACATTCACTTCATGGTTTGAGCTTTGCTACATGGAGACAGCTTCCTCTGCTGCCAGCATGTATTTGCTTCATTTAGACCCGTCCTCTGATTGCCTACGTACTCCCCTTGTCCCAAGAAATCAAAACACTGAACTGTATCAGCCGATTGTAAGAGTGGGGAAGAAATAACAAGCGTTTCCCAGTAATATGCAAAGTAAAAAAGCAAGCAAAAAAAAAAAGACCTCAAAACCTTACAGCGAGTCCCTGTCAGACAGCTTGAAATCTTGACTTAGCTAATAGGCCTGTGAAACTATGGAAAATTTTCACCAGTTTGCTTTCAGACCAACTCTGCTGCATGTGTTCATAAGTTCCATAAAGATTGCATGCTTTCTTTTTAATACAAACTGTATATTTTTTTTCATACCCATCCTTGCTTTTTATATTTTATTTTTGTTTCCCTTGCCTTGGTTGGATGCCTGTGTGTGTTTAATCCAAATCCCTGTCCAGTCCTGGAGTTTGAACTACGGAAAGCCAAGGAGACCATACAGGCCCTCCGAGCCAACCTGACTCAGGCTGCAGGTGGTGTACATAAACCTTTTCTTAAGTCTCTACTTTGAACAATGTAGAAGTAGCTGAGCTCATCCTGTGTGAAAGAGTAAAATTTAGTTACTTTTTTTTCCTCCCCAGAAAATGAAGTTCCTTTGCAGGAACGAAAAAATTATAAATCAAGTCCTGAAATTCAGGTAGGTGGCTGGTGATAATTGAGCTTTGCATGGACTTTAAGATGGATGTGCTTCCGTAGTTGGAAGGAAGATGAACTGAAAGAGGAGTGTGTTGTTTTCTTTTTTTCCAGGAGCCGATCAGACCTCTTGAGAAAAGAGCTCTAAACTTCCTAGTTAATGAATTTTTATTGAAGAATAGTTACAAGCTTACATCAATAACTTTTTCAGATGAGAATCATGATCAGGTAAAGTTTTCTTGTGGTTCTGGTTTTGGGGATCTTTTCGTTTGGTTGCTTTTGTTCCGTTTCTTTTTTACATGCCTTCCTTCCGTATTCCGATATTGTCCTAAACTCAAGTGAGTTTTTAAATGTTATTTCCTGAGCATGTAGTTCACTTCATACATATGAGTATTCTAATATTAGGTAGCATTTTCATATGTAAAGCATGAAACCACAGCACTTTGAGGAGTATTTTCCCCAAATACATAGGAAGGAGGTAGAATGCTTGCATTCTGTAAAGGAGGCAAAACTAGAAGGAAAATACTGTGAGTTACAGGCACTTATACACTTTCCTATATTCTGATGGACGCCCTTTCAGTTAACTCAAGGATCTGGATGTAGTAAAATTTTGAATGTAGTATTTTTCTTAAATCATATTCAGTTGATTTGTGCAGGATATAAAATATGTTTATTGTTTGTCATTTCCTAGGCGTACATATGAGTATACTTAATCATACTGTGGCGTTGAATACAGTCTTGGAGAAGCTATTGGTAACAAGGTGTTACCTTAGCATCCTGATTTAAGCTAGAACAGAACCAGTTCTCTGTTTAGTAATTTTACTTTTCCGAACACAGCGGCGCTTTGATGCATTTTCCTTAAGATGGTCAGCTTTATGTCTCTTGGCTGGGATTTCATGGGTAAAGCTGCCCTTAGGGTGAAACTACTTCGGGTCATGAAATGGATCCTTTCTCTACTTTTGTTTCTTGCTGTCTGATTTAAGCTTTCATCTCCTTTACTAAACACAATCTTGACATGATTATTTTGCTGTTTTATGACCTGCGGTCAAATGAGGAATAGAAACGAAAATAAAAGAAGGTGTATTGTGTACTTTAATTTCTTTTATTCTTTTGAAGGATTTTGAGCTTTGGGATGATGTAGGATTGAACATTCCAAAACCTCCTGACCTGTTACAACTGTACCGTGACTTTGGAAACCATCATGTTACTGCAAGAGATGTGGTGGATGTATCAGTCGGTGTAGAAGATGATGAGTTAGAGGCTACTACTCCTATACTTGGGAACGTCCCTGTGTTTGAAACAACCCCACAGTCAATAGAAGTAAGACTGTACAGCAGAAATGTTTCAGCTGTTTGCAGTAGTGCCTAACTGCATTGAACTAAACTCTTCTGTTTCTGTCTTCTGTTCAGCAATGTTTAATAGTGCAAAAATTAGAAGATCAAATTAGTGTGTTAAACAGTGAGAAGTGGTCTTTGATGGAACAAATCCAAAGACTTGAGAGGTATGTACTTGTCAATCTGCTCAGCTTCTTCTTGATGTTTTTCTAGCACATACGTGAAAACATACATTTTTAAATTACTAAGAGTTCTTCAGAGCAGGACACTTCTCCCTTTTTAAAACATGGTATTTGATTTAGAAAAGTAAAGGGACTTCACACTGACTATTTCCCTTGTATACCTACCTAATTTTTGTAATCAATTTTGTTCTTTCAGTGCAACTTCTTTATTTCTTTGAGAACAGAATCTGTTCCAATTTATTTCATTCTGTGGTGCTATTATGTTGACAGCTTGCAAACACTGTTAGAAAGATATTTGTTTCAATAACTGATTTCAACACAGTTTTACTTTCTACAGAGTAACACTAATAGAAATGACAGTATCTTTAACAACACAAAAGATACTTTAAAAGTTTTGTCAAAACATACAATTCTGTAAGCTATAGGATATATTCCTATATATGTGTGACTCACATAGTTACCATTTCAAAGTCAGCCAGTATATATTAATCCACTGCTACAGTATTTTCAGTTTTGCATCCCAAGTAGAGTTCTGTCTCATAGCACTTAGTGTCTCAGTGCTTAGATTTCAGCTGGAAGCAGATAACGCAATTGTTATTCGCTTATTTCCTTGATTGACTTACTCAGAGTGCACCATTTTTCCTACTACTAATTACTGACTAAAGAAATCCCTTAAACCAGTGTTCATTTGAACAGCTTGTGTGTTATAAGTTATTTCTATTAAAGGAATTCTTGAACATACTGGAGTTGGAAGAGGGAGCTCTTCAGTATGTTGTCCTTATTTCAGTTCTTCAGCCGTGATTCCAAAAACCTTCTCATGAAAGCTACAAAAATAGTCTTTCCTATTCCTTTTTATTTATTTTTTTTTTTAGTGAAATAGACTTTCTCAAGAATGACAACTTTGCTGTGTCAACAGTTTATGGTGTAGCTCCCCATCCTTTAAAACAAGTGCCTCTCACAGTCTCAGAGGACAATGCACGGTACTTGGATATCAAGAGCTCTGAGAATGACAATAAACATGGAAACACTGAGCAAACAAGCCTTTCCTTGTCAGCTGAAGTGGATTCAAGGACATCTAAAGATGATACGCTAAATTATGTGCCCTGTAAAGAAACAGAGAAGCTGTCCTCTTGTGCAACATCAACTAAAGCTACAGTCCACTTTGATAAACCTAACAGGTCAGTGATAAATTTTAAACTGGAATTCTTTATTTAAAAATTCTTGTAAAAAAGATGGATATTTTTTCTAACAGTAAAATCCTCCAGAATTCGTAGGCCTTTTGTGTTTTGAATGCAAATAAAAGACTTTAAATGCTGTTGGGGTACAGTCCTGATATTTTCATGTTTTCTAATCTTTTTAGGAAGGTATACATTTGATAAGCGTAAATTTTAAAAAAGTTTAGAAGTCTCTTTTCATCTCCTACTTGTTTTTAAAACCAGTCCTGTTCTTTGCAACAAAAAAAAACCCCAACCACACTACATCCAAGCGGTAGATGGGAAGACAGGGTATTTGCACTCTCTTTTAAGTTTTAATTTCATAATGAAATCTCTTCTGATCTGGTTGAAGAGTGGCTGGGAAATTTTTTTACTTTTCCTATGTGAATAAGTCTCTCTTAGAGTATCTAAGAGACCATTGTGAATTTCTCTCTTTTTTTAAATAACCAAAATTTATCTGGACAAAGGCACCCAAATAGCTTATTTTATGGTCATAACCTTGCTTTTTCTAGGGGAGCAGGTGGCTGTTCTGCTTTATATTTTGTCAGTTCCCTTACTGTTACTTTTGCTGGTGTCAAAGTAATATGTTTATAGAATTGTCTTCCATCTAAAAATACCAAGTAGAAGTCTGTGTGTGATATTCTGTGCAGATGGAAAATCAATACAAGCTGGGATGGGGAGGAGAGGAAGAAAAGTGTTACCACTCCTGCTAATAACTTTTCTGGCAACTCCAAGTACCTAGTTTTCTCTGGATTTCCTGAACTTCTTGCACTAGGGGCAGGGGCACTTTTTCAATGATATCATAGCTTTAGAATAGAACAGGAGGCAAGATTTCTATTTTCTGAAGGCAGCACCTTTAGTAAGTCTCTAATCTTATTACAAATTTATTCTCTGCTAGTGGTTCCGCTTAAGCTCTTCAGATGATGGGTTTTTTTTAAATTCCTTTCATATCCTAGTTGAATATCTAGACTACATAATGATCAAAACTTACAGCTTTTTTAGATGGGTTGCTATAAACCTCTCTAATTTCACCTGTGGCTTTTTGCAAGTTTCTTCTTCGTTAGAGTAATTAGGAGAGCCTGAAGACATTAAGTGCATGAATATTCTATTGATGGTTTGGGGATAGTGAGGATGTGTATCAAAACCAGATGAGTTCACTGAGTGAGGAAGGAACCGTGAGTATCTCTGGTGGGATTTATGACAGTAGTTTCTCGAAAAAATAGAATTTGATTTGCTGCTTACAGCTCTTAAATATAACTGCACATAGATTTATCTGAAAAGTAGTTGAATAAAGCCTTGAATCCCCATTGAATTAACTTCAGACATCTCCTCAAATGCATTTAACTGCAGAAATAAGTGAGGCATGTGTAATACGTAGCTATTTTTGTACTGAATTTTGGGCTTAACATGTCAGTGAAGGGTCAGAGGAAACTATTTTATACCGGTTTTTGTAGATCTGTGTCACTAAATTTTCTTCCTGGATTATGCACTTGGTTTGTAATAATGCAGTAATTTTTTTCATTAGGAATTATATTTTGTATTGAGTATTTTAAGATCTGTGGAAAAAGCAGCACAACAGAAGTGTCGGATATTTATTCATTTCAGTCCAGGAGTGGTTATTTGTAGAAGACAATTATTCCAATTTATTTGGAATGTATTAAGAGATATTAAAAACTAGTACTCTGTCTTAAAAGGCAAGATTTTTACTACTGCAGCTAGGCAGCAGCAGTATTCTTGGCATAAATCTTGCCCAGATGGGAAGAGAGGATAGAAGAGCAAGTGAGGGCGCTTTGTGTGACGGCGCCGAGAGCAGCTGTGCGTGCGTGCCCACGGATGAGGGCATGGCTGGCGTTGGAAAAATGCCTTGTCTGACAGATTGCAGTAGAAAGCACTAGCAGCAGCTTAAATAGACTGCACCACATGTATTTATTCAACTCATTTTAGGTGTTTTGAGAGTCTGCACCAAATACAAGGTGTTTTCTGTATATAGCAGTCACTCCTGACTTTCTCAGCAAATTGACTCTCTTGTCCCAGTCTTACATGGAGTTTGTATTCATCAGACTTGCTTATATTTGAGCATCTTCGCCACTGGCATCTGTTGGCCCTTGAAAAGATTTTCCACTGACTTGTGTGCAAGAGGCCTGGGGCTGTATCGTTTCTGTCCAGCGTAGCCATCATGAGGACTAGACTTCTTCGAGAAATTTTCCTGACTATATAGGGCCAGCAATCATCGTGGGATCCATGCTGCCCAGAGCCTGCTATTAATTAACCCACAGGGAAATTCAGTGAGATATTGTCATAGTTACTTTTCAGTCCCTGCAAAAATGGGAATAGAATTTTGCCCTTATGTAGGATTTTAATTAAGCTTTCAAGTAGGGGAGGACCTTATGTTGTGAGGAATGAATGCTGAGGAATTGCTCTACAATTACTTGAAAGGACATTGTAGAGAGGTTGGTGCTGGTCTCTTCTCACAGGTCATTAGGGACAGAACCAGGGGGAATGGTTGCAAGTTGCAACAGGGCAAGTTTAGGCTGGACATTAGGAAGAAA